CGTTATTTTTGCTAGATTGTATGAGTGTGTGTATTTGTGCGTGTTAGCGTCTCTATGCAATACGGTTCCTAAATCAGACTTGTCAAAGTCTTAATCTTAAGTTCCGATCCTCAAGGCCTAATGACCCAAGAGAAAGCCTTGACCGAGAATGCGTCTCTAAAAGATTACATAATAGAAGAAAGTGTGATGGTTTATTTGAACACTGTCTTTATGCCCCCCTTCTTTACTTATTCGATTATCTTTTTGAGGGAATGAATGACGGCAAAATTAGGAAATGGGAAAAGGTCTCAGTCTGTCTCTCTTTGACTAAATGGTCTCCGTCTAAAAATGTATTCCTCAGTGGAGAGATATTGTTCTCAATAAGGCTCAAAGGATAATTATTTTCCAGAAAAATATTTTTCAGTCGTTGCAATTCTTTAATCAAATGTTTGCTATCCGCTAGCCTCAGACTTATTAGAATCATTGACTACAAAATTCCAACCTTAGTCTTGTAACTATGATTGGAAAGAAAATTAAGCAGAGCCAACATATGTTGGCCTTATATAAAGGTAGAGAGACTAGGACCTTATCCCATGTCCTAATTTTGCCGTCATGCCTTCTCTCAAAAAAGATATGCGAATTAGTAAAGAAGTGGGGCATAAAACAGTGTTCAAAGAAACCCTCACACTTTCTTCAATTGTGCCATCTTTTAGAGAGAAATATGACCCATTCTCGATATCCGGCTGCTGCAAGATTGTTTGCTCATGTGGTCGATGTTATGTTGGTGATGCATGCCGACCTATTCGACAAAGATTGGTAGAACACAAAAATGCTTGCGAAGGTAACTGGATCTAACGGTCAGAAGTAGCCGAACAGATGGTAGAAACCGGACATGAAATAGAATGGTCTCAAACTTGTAGGTTTGTTGAGTGTGATACATCTGTGGTTAAAAGAAAGATAAGAGATGCTATTGAAATTAATAGTTTAGGAAATACGTTGAATGTGAGGAACGGTGGTAGAAAGTTAAGTAGGAACTACGTTTGATTGATTGATAGATTGAGCCGCCGTCGAAAATAATGCGACTTAATTTGTCTGCTCGGTGATGGTTGTAACTTCACTTACACTCGTCCAACATGTTAGAGTAAGCTCATTAACCAAACCAGCCATGTCAGATTACACAACCTCAGTCTTGTCTTCCTTTGGGGGGTTAAAAGTTATGAACCTAGACTGCGAGGTTAGGACAAATGGTTTCGTAACTTGATTTTCATGCTTACAAGCTCATATCTCATTACCTCAACCATACTTGTTTACAGACTTACGCAGTCTCGGTCAAGGCTTTCTATTAGGTAATTAGGCCTTGAGGATCAGAACCTGAGATTAAGACTTTGAAAACTCTGATTTAGGGACCGTATTGCATATAGACGCTAACGCGCACACATAAACAGGACCAGTATGAAAGATAATTAACCAAACAACTCTATATCTATATATCTACCTACTTACCTATCTATCTATCTATCTATCTATCTATCTATCTATCTATCTATCTATCTATCTATCTATCTATCTACTTTCTATTTATTTATTTATTTATTTATTTATTTATCCATCTATCTATCGAAGTTTTAATTTTCTTTTGGCTTAATTGAGTCTATATAAGAAGTAGAGTTTCGATACTACCAGTAAATCAGTAATATGAGATGTATTTACCCTATTTCGTTTAAGATGATAAAGGACTGGTAGTAGAATTTTCCCACAATGATATGAATAGAGCTGACGTTTCCATTGAATTTCACATTGCCTTGCAATACCAAAAGTTGTTCTCATACAGGATGGACTGAAATTCCGACCTCGCATCGATATTGTCAACACCCCCAGCGGGAGTCGAACCTGGACGATAACAACTTTTGGGAAAGCAAAGCTATGTAAATTCATTGGAAACGTCAGCTCTATTCATATGATTGTGGGAAAATTCTATTACCAGTCCTTCATCACCTTAAATGAAATAGGATGAATACATCTCATATTCCTATATAAGAAGTAAGATAGAGCCAGATAGTGTTCTTGCTTAAGTGTTAACGTGAGAATTTTACAAGAATGACACCCAGCTCTGATAATGTCCATCATATGATGGACGAAAGCTGAGCACGCTTTCACCCGAAACGAGGAGGGAAGTCTCGTGGACTGCGTCAACATGAATATCGTATAAAAGCAAAACAGCTGCAGTATGAGATTCAGCTGTCCTCATCTGGTGAAATCTATTAACGAATCTCTTCTTCATTTACTTTCATACGAAATGAAAGTCTCCCTAACAATTTTATCTCAAGAGATTCATCGAAACCCCCTTTCTCTTCGTATCTATAAGATTCATGCGTCGGAGATTGTATAGCCTACTTTAACAACCTAAAATTATTTTTATAGAAAATGAATAGACAAACCCTAAAACGTGATGAAATAAGATGGACGGTAACCATATAGGTGACAAAACTTATCTGAACAATTTATAATAGTCAAGATTGTTCAGCAAAACAACGCAACTCAGGTAAGTTTATGGCTTGGGTTTCCTAATAAACAAAGTACAGCTATTATTAAATTGTTAAAAATTTGTGAGCATAATATTATCCTTAGTAATAACCTTGTCTTACTCAAGCTTGTTGGGCTGTTGGTCGGGCTAGAAGCATGCGACTTGCTCGCTGGTTCTGCTTCTTGAAGTTTCGATGATATTGCGATTGATTGCTCAAGCATGGACCCTTCATCAAACTCTCTAGCCTTATTCAGGTCCAAATCACTGCTACTTTCAAGTGCTTTCGGGTCTTCATTAATTTCTTCAGCTCGAATGCTGCTAGCTGACTGATTGCATTGATTTTTTAATTCAATTACATCTTCCAGAACAGCATGAGGAGACTGAATGACAATATCTTGCAAGCTGTCTTGATTTTGGTCTTGAATATCGTTTGAGCTTTTCTGTCCACTCGAGGAGGCCATAGGAGATTCAAACATGAGTTCCTCCTGTTCGTTAAAGGATTTTATTTCGTCTCCCTTTGTTGCATATTTGCAAGATTCTCCAACTTCACCAGCCAAAGCAGTTTTGTCATCCAGAACTTTCGTTTCATTCTCACTCATGGATATATCTTCATTCCCTCTATTTTCCAACTCGTTTATATTCTTTGCTCCTTGTTTTTCTATCATCTTATCTCCGTCGCGGAAAAATTCTTTCTCACTCATTTTAGATTTATCTTTAGCATATTCTGACTGTAAGCTATCATTTTCAATTTCATTTGATTTTTTATCAACTATTTCTTCGTCTGCACTTACATTTTCTTCGTTAGATGCCCCTTTCTCATCATCATTAATTTCTTCCTTGTCCTGGCAGATTCTATCGTTTGTCAATTTAATAGCCTTAGATTTATTATACTGCTCTTTCTCCGTAAAATCAGGCATTAAAACCACTTTCGGACAATCTTTACCATGAATCATTTGCCAAAAGAGCCGACGAATTGTAACCTCCGCTACCGTTGCTGCACCATAAAGAAGACGACCATTTACAGGCTTGCCCAGCTCTGGGCAAGCCATGGTGTCGATACCAAAGCACATATAGGGTGAGACTACAAGATCACCCCAGTATCCCCAGCAGAGGCTGCGGTTATCCGAGGAGATGAAAGGGCTAGCGATATGTCGGGGTGACACAAGGCTTCTGTTGCTGACGGAATAGCTCGAACTTGATCGAGGCTCAAAGGCGACCCCAGTCCTTCGCCAATGAGAGTACTCACGTGAATTGACCTGTTTTGCCTGTGGTCCCAAAATAATTAATAGAAAGAGATTTACGCTAAGTAAATATAATAAAATTAAAATAGATTCACGTTTTGATGCATGTATCATGGCCAAATAAAATGTCAAAAATTACCACACAACTAACTAAGGTTATTTAAGCAAATATTTGTTGAGATTTCTTCCATTTCGAGCGAAAGCGTGTGAGAAAAAGATTCGAAGGTTAATCCAACCAGAAGACAACGATTGATTACTTTCCGTTCTACTCAAACATCCCTGTATTTCAACACAAATACAATGTATACACATATTATTGGGGTAAAATTCAATCACCAGTCCTTCATCACCTTAAAGAAGTAAAGCTTATGCATTTAATATTAAAAAGCACTCATTTAACGAAAAATTAAAGGGATCACTAGACATCATATTCTATATCAAAGGAAAGTAGCTCGAATTTTTTAGAAATAAATATGAAATTTTAAATAAAATAAATATCTCTAATACTTTAAATCAAAATTATATCTGTTTACTTACGCCTCGGTCGTGTAAAGTTATGCTGCAATCCCAATC